GGGGGAGGTACTAAAGAAATGGTCCGATCTCTACCATCGTTATAACAGATCTTGTGTTGATGGAAATACTGAGATGTACCAAGTCTGAGAGGGATCGATGTTAATTTCGTGTTGTACTAGTTTCATAGACATTCAAAATTTTGACCCTTTGTGGGAGAGGTAGCAGAAGAAGTGGACCGATATATCCCATCCCTTCACAGCAGATTTTATGTTAGTAGAAGTAATGGGATGTATGAAATATGAAGAGAACCGGATGCTTATTTCGGTTTTTATAATCGTTTTGGTTATTCAAAACGTTTGTGGGGAACGTGCCAGAAGGAATGGTCCGATTTATAACAGATCTTGTGTTGATAGAAATATTGAGATGTGTCATGTCTGAATGGAATCGGATATTAATTTCGCGTTTCTATGAACTTCATGGGTATTCAAAATATTGCCCTTAGTGGGGCAAAGAAGTAGACCGATGTTGCCCATCTCCGAACTCGATCTGAGATTGATCATAATATTACGATGTACTAAGTTTGGACCAAATCCCTTCGAGTCTTATCGTGCGCACCAGCCAGACAGACAGATGGACATTCCTAGATCGACTCCAAATGTCTTGAAACGGATTTTGTCTAATGAGATCCAGACTCTATAACCGTTATTTCGATGAGGCACGTTTTGGAACTGTTAAATGCCCTCTCTAGGCATATGGCTGAGGGTATAAACAAGAAGACGCGAAGGTTTACATTGCAAAATAGAGAAATGAGAGGGGGCAAGCTCTCCCCTCTTCCATATATATATTTTTTTAATATGTGGAATATATATTCCTAATATTCCTAGAATCTGCCATTTTTTCAATATCATAAAGGGACAATTAGTCATTGTAGTACAGCAGACCATTAGTATATTTTTTTGGCACGAGGACTATCTAGGTCAAAATTTTTAAACCTCAAGCGAAACATCTAAGTGGTCTTTTTTTCCCTTAAGACAGGATTATTGTAAATCAAAATGTTCTACAAAATTATTCGTCATGAAATGTTGCTATAGATCCTATAGAATCCGTGAGTTTATGAAAAACTCTCCTATTAGCCAACATTTTAGAAGGATGACATCAAAGGCGAAAATATTCTTCATCAAATTTCACTATAAGCCACCCCGGAGATGATATATCAATTTCCATTATATATCAAATATACAGGCATGTTGTTTTTTTGCAACATAAAAATATGTCAAAATTTCTCTAGCCTTTTTTCAAGATAAAGCATGAAAGTAACATAGAATTTCATTAAAAACGGAAAGTATCAAAAGATGAACTATTCCACACAAAATGTCACTATAAATTTCATATGAAAATTCCGATTTCACAATCACAAAGCCACATTTGTGTAGATGTCTTTATTTCAGAAGAAAGTTAAATATTTTCCCTTTCATATTACACTTATTTCATGAATATATCTCAAATAGTTGAAAAGTTATGAGAAAAAGAAAACATCTTTCATTTTTTAGCAAACGACTTTCAAATCTAGTCGCACAATAGATGGCGTTAGTATCGGGCCACTTTCAAATTCTTAACCAGTGTTGTAAAACGGCAAAAATTCAAATGTATTTTCTTTTTACCATAACTTTGGAACTATCGGAGGTATGTTAAATAAATCGGTGTCGCATGAAAGGGAAAATGTCTAGCTTTCTGGTGAAATAAAGAAATTGATTAAAATTTGACGGTCTGATTGTGAAACCAGGATTTTAGGGACATTCTTGAACCCTGCTGCTTGAAATTATTTTTTTTTTTATAAATTGCCTACAAATTTTAAAAAGGATCGTCGAGGCTTTCAGTACACTTCGATTTGGTTTTAATACAATTGTAGGTTTAAAAGTTATGTTATGTATACTTTAACTCCTGATTTCACAGCCTCACCGTTAATTTTTTATCATTTTCTTTTTTTTCAAACGGAAGTCCGACATTTTCCCTTTCATGCGACATTAATTTCATTAAAATATCCCCGATAGTTGCAAAGTTATGGTAAAAAGAAAAAACACTTGAATTTTGGACGTTTTACAACACTGGTTAAGAATTGGAAAGTGGCCCGACACTAACGCCATCTATTGAGCGACTAGCTTTGAAAGTGGTTCGCTAAAAATTAAAGGTTAATTCTTTTTTCCATAACTTTTTAACTATTGGATATATACTCACGAAATTAGTGTCATATGAAAGGGAAAATGTTTGACTTTCTTCTGAAATAAAGACATCTGTAAAAATATGGCTTTGTGATTGTGAAATTGGGATTTTAATACTAATTTTGATATTAGACGCTTAATCTATAAACTTTTCACAAATTTTGCTTGTTATTTGGAAAGAAGATTATTAAAGCTTTCGAATGAAACTAATTTTGTGTTGATAGCATTATTCGTTCGAAAATAATAGACTTTAACATTAACTTGAAAAAAATATTTGCTTAGATCGAATCATGTCGATCAATAGATGGCGCTGACGTCGAGTCTTAATCAGTGTTGTAAAACGACAAAAATTAAATGTTATTTCTTTAAACCATAACTTTACAACTATTTTTTTCTATTACCATTTTTTTCTTTTTACCATAACTTTAAACCTATCGGAGATTTTTTAGATTTTATTGTTTTTTTATTTAATAAAATAAATATCAAGCAGCAGAGTCAAAAATAATCTCAAAAGGACTGATTACAAAGTCTCAGTTTCCCATTCTAAGCAAATCTCTTTTCTCGAAAGTTAAATATGTTCTCTTTCATTTGACACCGATTTCTTTAGAATATGTCCAATAGTTGCAAAGTTATGAAAAAACGGAAAAATATTTCATTTTATGTCGTTTTCCAACACTGGTTAAGACTTATCGACAGCGCCATCTATTGAGTGACATGATTCGATCTAGGCAGGTGCAATTTTTATGTTGCTCTTTCAAAGCCTATAATTTTTAAAAGAATAGTGTTATCAACTTCAAATTGGTGCCATTCAAAAGCTTTAATAATCTGCTTTCCAAAAAACAAGCAACTGTTGTGAGAAAATGATAGATTAAACCCTTAACTTACAATATAATAATAATATCCCAAATTCACAATCACAAAGCCACATTTTTAGAGATGTCTCTATTTCAGAAGAAAGTCAAACATTTTCCCTTTCATATGACACCTATTTCATGAATATATCTCCAATAGTTGAAAGGTTATTGAAAAAAGAAAACACATTTAAATTTTTAGCGAACTACTTTCGAATCTAGTCGCACAATAGATGACGTTAGTGTCGGGCCACTTTCCAATTCTTAACCAGTGTTGTAAAACGACCAAAATTCAAGTGTTTTTTTCTTTTTACCATAACTTTGCAACTATGGGATATGTATTAAAGAAATCGGTGTCACATGAAAGGGAAAATGTCTAGCTTTCTGGTGAAATAAAAAAAATGCTAAAAATGTGGCTGTGAGACTGTGAAACCAGTATTTTTAGGACATTCTTTAACCCTGCTGCTTAAAATTATTTTTTTTTTATAAATTGACTTCAAATGTTAAAAAGGATCGTCTAGGCTTTCAGTACACTTTGATTTGGTTTTAATACATTTGTAGGTTTAAAAGTTCTGTTATGTATAATTTAGCTCCTGATTTCACAGTATCATTGTTAATTTGTTATCAATTTCTTTATTTCAAATGAAAGTCATACATTTTCTCTTTTTTGCGACACCAATTTCATTAAAATATATCCTATAGTTAAAAAGTTATGGTAAAAATAAAAAATACTTATTTTTTGTTAGTTTTACAACACTGGTTAAGAATTGTAAAGTGGCCCGACACTAACGCCATCTATTCAGCGACTAGATTTGAAAGTGGTTCATTAAAAATTAAAGGTGTTTTCTTTTTCCCATAACTTTTTAACCATTGGAGATATATTCACGAAATTAGTGTCATACTAAAGGGAAAATGTTTGACTTTCTTCTGAAATAGAGACATCTCTAAAAATATGGCCTTGTGATTGTGATATTTGGATTTTAATAATATTTTGGAAGTTCAGCGCTCAATCTTTAATTTTCTCACAAATTTTGCTTGTTGTTTGGAAAGAAGATTATCAAAGCTTTCAAATGACACCAATTTTGGGTTTACAGCATTAATCATTCGCATGTTATAGGCTTTGTAAAATTAACATAAAAACAGTCACATATTTATCAATTTATTTATTTCAAACGAAAGTTCGACATTTTCTCTTTCTTGCGACACCAATTTCATTAAAATATCTCCAATGGTTAAATTATCTCCAATAAATTAAAATACCTCCAATGGTTAAAAAGAAAAAAAAAACACTTGAATTTTGGTCGGTTTACAACACTGGTTAAGAATTGGAAAGTGGCCCGACACAAACGCCATCTATTGAGCGACTAGATTTGAAAGTGGTTCGCTAAAAATTAAAGGTGTTTTCTTTTTTCTATAACTTTTTAACCATTGGAGATATATTCATTAAATTAGTGTCATATAAAAGGGAAAAACTTTGACTTTCTTCTGAAATGGCAACATTTCAAAAAATATGAATGTGAAACTGTGATATTGGGATTTGAAGGTTAATTTTGTATCTCCGCCGTCTTTAATCTATCAGTTTGTTAGATTTGACATAAAATTTGGAAAAAAGATTGTCTACTCTTTTAAAAGGCATATAGCTGGTCTTTATAGCATCATTGGCTCTAAAGTTCTATGCTTTTAAAAATTAAAGTAAAAGAAATATTTGCTAAAACCGAATCATACCCATCAATAGATGGCGCTGTAATCAAGTCTTAACCAGTGTTGTAAAAGGGAAAAAATTTGCTCATTTAATATTTTGCGCCCTAAGATATGCTTTGCATTTCCTTCAACTTTCAAATTTGGAACCTTTTTAATCTATTTAAGGATCGGGGATGGTTTCATACTTACCATTTCAAACCAATGAAATTATAACAAATTTTTGTGAACAAACAATTTTATTATTATTATTTTTTTTATTTCACTATAAAAGTACAATTTTTATTTGAAATTAATGTGATTGTGGGCAAAAAAAGAGTTGGTCGAAATTAATTATAAAAAACTGATATCTACATATTTTTTGAAGTTTCCTTTTGTGCCGTTACTATCCAAGGCTATTGACGCACTTTGCTTCGCAAAATTAAGGTGGATACCTTGTTTCTGGACGCATACATTTTTCAGGGGGAAGTCTGGAAACCCATTTTCTTTAATTGAGAAAATAGATAATTTAAAGAGTTCATATCTGCAAACATCGCGTAGAAGTTTGTATCTATAAAGAAAAAAGAAAAAAAAAATGTTTTTATTAGTTTGCAAGTTAAGGCATCTTTTATTAAATTGAAAAGCATTTTTTTTGTTTTTTAACAAATTCCCAATTATCAATGGTTTTTCAAAATAAAACTTCAATTCAGCGTAGCTGAGTTATATTTTTAAGATGCTGGTAGGCTATTAACAATATAAATTCTTTCAACTATTAATTATTTATTTCCAAACTTCATATCATAAATCATTGTGCATTACCAGCCGCTTTTTTCGACATTATTTATTTGTTTATTGTATGAAAACAATTTTGTTATCGTCTTAAGATGTGACCTCTGCGCGCTAACCCCTTTGGCTGAATGAAACTGCAGACTGCGGCAGACATAATTAGCTACTTAGCGGTGTGATGTTGCAATCGTGCAAGCAGAGCTACACAAAGCTTCAAATACAAAAAAAAAAAAAAAAAGATTTTTTGGCTTGCTGCTCTGTCTATTCCCCATTTTCTTGTATTGCAATAGACTTGACACTTACCAAAATAAATGTGGCATTTTTTTTATATTTACAATGGTTAATTAATTGAGATTTTATTATAATTTGATATTGATAGGATTAGGTGGAAGAAGAACAAGAGATACTTGAAACAAAAATAGATTTGACATTTTTTCAAAGATTTGGAAAAAAAACTCATTGTTGGAGAAAAATTGGTGGCAATTCGAGACAGAAAAAGTTTTTAATTTGACCGTGTTTTTTAAACTTGAAACTTTGTAGATCGTTAAAACCGCCTTTTCAATTTTTGACAATATACAAAGGGACCCCTATTATTTGAGGTATATTTCCACAATATTTAGGATAGAAGATAAAAGATATCTGAAGGAGATCTTTGGATAACATCCAAAATCGTTGATATAGAGAATGTGTTATATTAATGACAACTCCGATTTCAAGAATTTTTTACGTTTCGTCCTTTGATTTCCCCAATTTTTGTCATTTTGAATTTATATAATGTAGAAGCGCTATTTACAAAATAATATAGATATACAGGGTGAGATAAAAACTTCAACAGAGTCAAACGCAATAATTTTTTACATTTTCTTTTAAATTTTATTGAATGAAAGCAAAAAGTCGGAAATAGCATCAAATTTTAGAATAAGTTTAGATTTGTTCGAATTGGTCACCTTTGGCACGAATTATGGCCTTCAAACGGCCAATGAAACCATCACACGCTCCCCGAAAGTTTCTCTGCGGTATCTTGGCCCATTCCTGGCGAAGCGCTTGCTTGAGGTGATCAACATTTTGGTATTTTTTAGTGCCAACCATGCTTTCCAAAATACTCCAGACACAATAGTCCAACGGACTGGTATCCGAAGAATTTGGTGGCCATTGTGTGATGGAAATGAACCCCATTTTGTAACCATTCTTGGGTGGCGCGTGCTAAGTCCTGTTGGAATGTCCAAGGTCTGCTGCCAAAATGTTTGCGCACCCTCCAGAATATCTTCGCGATAATATTCGGCATTTATTCTGATGCCACGGTCGATTAATGCGGAGAGCGACCATTGGCTGTTATGGTGACCCACACCATCACCATGGCCGGCGCTTGAGTTCTGGTGGCCAACCAAAGGTGCACACTTTCAGCTGACCTCTTTGGCTAGTAAACGCGATCATTTTGTTTGTTTACAAACTGCTAGACAACGAATGTTTTCTCATCAGAGACGGAGAACACCAAATTCGGCAGTTCTCCACTTTCGGCCAAGCGAAGCAACTCTTTAGCTCTTTTAAGTTTACTTTCTTTCTGTTGCGGTATAAGATCTTGCACTTTTTGGAATTTCAATGCTTTACCCCGAGCTCATTTTTCAATATTTGCCGAATGAAATATTGCGATATCTTCAGCTCACGAGCTTTTTTTCCGTCAATGCGACGCGGGTTTCGATCAAGTCGCTTCGTTACTTTTCGAACCATTTCTGCTGATGTTGCTGTTTTTGTTCTTCCGTCCACTTCCTTGACATCGGGCTACGATACCAGTATCAGTAACGAGCGATGGTACGAGACACAAAAGATTTATTCACATTTAAATGCTGGAGTGCTCTAACGATAATCACTTGTGGTTTTCCTGCCAAATAAAAAAATAAAAAAAAATGAATTCCATCACGAATGCCTTTTTTCTGGAAAATTCTCACCAAAATGCTTTTGTACGCTTGTAAACAATATAATGAGCTGTCACCGGAATATTTTTAACAGCTGTCGGACGAGTGGCTTAGACATGACAGCAGTCCGAATTTGGTTGCAGTTATTTCATCCTTTTCACCCTGTACAGTTGTTAACTTAATACCAAAACATAATTTATTGATGATCCTAGGACATTTTATGCCCCACAAATAGAATCCTCTGAATATTGGCTATTTATGTTTTATTTACATATTTTTCTCAAATAAGAAGGAACCTATAGCCAATATCAAAATGCATTTACATCCATATTATGTAGACCGTTATGTGATTATTTTCCGAATCATTTGGTAATTTAGTACTATTTTTGTGGGCAATATTTTTTCGGAACTTTTTTTACCCAATATTTTTTTTCAATTTTATTTAATTTTTTCTCTCTAGGCATTTTCCGGTTGTGAATTTATTATTAAGTGACTCTGTCTGCGTATGTGTGTGTGTGCGTGTGTCTAATTCTTGGCAATCGCCCGTATGTCTGTACCATTTGGAGAGCAAAAAATCGCAACGTGTGCTGCTGCTGCTAGAAGAAGTCTGTTTGTCTGCCAATCTTTTTGTGCCTTCAATATTTGGTAATCGTCCCACTTGGCATGCGTTTAACAGGTTTTTCATGTCCGCACTCAGTCTGAAACTTATTTTGATGATTATTTTTGTTGGTTTTTTTGTGTATTACGTTGTATTTACTCTTGTTTTTTTTTCTGTGTCTGCTTCTTCTTTATGTTCATATCCAATATGAATATTTATCGTTAGTTGATGTATGTAAAGTTGTTTGCAAGTGGGAGATATTTGTGATCAATTTTTAAATGTGGGCAGAGAGACGTTGATATTTTTTACTGTCATCCTTAGAAATTAGAATTGTATTTATATTGGCTTGAGGAAATAGGTTTTGTTGGTAAAATTGGCAAATAATTAGAGTTTATTTTGACAGGCATTTCAAGATGAGATTTGAAGTGGCTTATTTTTTGTATTTCAAAAATATAGACCCTATATTGTACTGGTGTTGAAAACTTTTTCGGGAAGCCTATAAACATCTTTTTCATAAAGATGGAAAAAATTGAAAAAGTGTTTCCAGTGTTGTTAACCCTAGGTTATTAAATTTTATAAACAAAACTAGCAAGTGCCAGCTAATTCGTCAGCGAAAAGTCAAAATGTTTAGCTTTTACGCCAAAAAGTTTTCAAAATCTTTCATTTTGAAGTTTTTCGAGAGGATATTAGCAGATACAATTGCACAATGGATCCACATCCAATTTTCCTGTCCAAAACTATGTCAACGTCTCCATATGTATGCCCTAGAAACCAAACTCAATAGGAAATTTCAGAAATTCAGTTTTTTTTAAAAATTTAGTACCATTTAGTACGCATATCCAAAACAACCCCCACATCTCTATTCTAGACACCAACAGTGATCCAAAATTTGTAGTTTTCGAAAAATTGTAGATTGTTGCACAGTTCTAAAACCTCAAATCTCAACACCAGATACAAAGAAAAACCTCAATAACAAATTTCGAAATTCCAGCTCAATCAATTTTAAGGATTTCACATCTATTCTCAATGTTAAATTTCAGGATTCCAGCTCTGTCCCTTCACCCAACACCAAATTTAGTACCATTTAATACTATTCTTACAAATTTAGAACGCATTTTCAATTCCACGTCCATATCTAAACTACAACCAACAATAAGTACCAATTAGTACTTTTCGTACAATTATAGCACATATTTCCACAACCACCTCCATATCTCAATCTCAGACACCAACAAGACCTCAATATCAAATTCTGGCTTTCCAGCTACTACTCTTCACCCAATAACCAATCTTGTACCACTTAGAACTTTTCGTACAATTATAGTATACATTTCCCAAACCACCTCCACATTTAAATTCCAGATACCAACAGAAACTTAAATATCAACTTTGAGGATTCCAGACCCTATCTTTTCACCCAATTCAAAGTTTAGTTCCATTTAGTACTTTTAGTACAAATTTAGGACGCATTTCCAAGCCACCGCCAAATCTCAAACACAAATACCATCAGTAATGTAAATATGAAATTTTAGTATTTTATCTATATTCCTTCACCCAATACCAAATGGAGTACCATTTAGTACATTTCGTACAATTTCAGTAAATTTCCGCACCAAATTTTAGATTTTAAGCACTATTTCCTTCTTATAGTAGACCATAGTAGACTTTCAGTTCTGCTATGAGCCTTAGTAGACCTTCAGCTCTTCTATGGAGCCATAAATACCTTCAGCTTTTCTATGCAGCCATAGAAGACTTTCAGCTCTTCTATGCAGCCATTGAAAGCCGTCACTTCGGATGTGGGGCCGTAGAAGACCTTCTGCTTTTCTATGGAACCATAGAAGTCATACTGTTCTTCTGTGGAACCATAGAAGAGCTTCTGCTCTTCTATGGATCCATAGAAGGCATTCACCTCCTTTGTGGAAGCATAGAAGGTCTTCAGCTGATTCTAGGTCAAAGATGTGCAAAACTAAATTGATAGTGAGTGAGTGAGCGTAACTGAGAATTCACCTTCAAGAGAGAGAAAAGATAATACGCCAATAGCCTGTGTCGCCAACGTGCGTTTTTTGGCAGCTTTGTTTATTGTCATTTGAGCCCTTTTATGGCATTTTCCATCACTTAGCCAAAACTTCCGGCAATAGGTCTACACATTCTTCATGGATATTGTCTTAAAGAGCTGAAAGAGGCTTGTTGACATAAACTCTCGAATTCAAAAGAAGACTGCAGCGGTCAAATTAGGCGATCATGCTGGCCAGTGCAAATCGCCAAAACGAAAAA